GTGCGCCCGCGACGGTAGGATAACTGGATCACGACGATTAAAGTTTAAATGCAGGCGCGGAGCTGGGGCTGGGAGCGGCGAGGGCGCGCTGGTGAGTAATGGTTGCCCAGGGTATGCAGGTGGTGCCAATTTAACTGAAAGATCACCGCCCGAGTCTTGAAGAGCGCGGGAGATGCCGGAGGCTGCGGGGCCCGTCAGGGGCGCAATTCGGAAAGGCTGTCGGTAGGAACAAACCCACCTTAAAATGCCTGGTAAGGACCGAGCCCCCCGACGGAGTCCGAGCAGATTTGTGTAGAATGAGCGTGTTTACCGCCTGGAGTGAGGCGCAGAGGGAGGCCAGACCTGGCACGCATCTGAGCTCTCCTGCGCTTTTGTTTTCTAAACTTTCAGCGCGTTGGGTTGGGCTGCTGCCCTCGAAGACGCACCGACGGCGCTTCGGGGTGGGGTGGGGGTTTCTAGCCTTTCAGAGCTCAGTAGGGTTTGGGAAAACGCGGGAGGCGATCCGTTTTCTAATGGCAACTGTTGAACTGGGTAGGGTCTCAGGTTTATTTCATGTGCGTAACTGCAGGAATTCACAGCAGCGGTGATGGCCTTGCTCCGAAGTGGGCGCCCGAGTCCCGCATTTTAAAACGGGGTGTCCTGCCGTCTGGAGCGCCCCTCACCAAAATACTTTCTTTGCGAAGGGCGTCTCTTTCTTGAGAGAAAACAGGCGGGAGGCGACGGGGTATGTTCATAGATGTTTATAATCCCGTGTAGCCAAAGATCTTCTCTCAAGGATGCCTTGAAAAATGGTTGGTTCCTAAAACCCCTGATGGGAAGCCACGAGGCCCCCCCGGAGCCCTCATTATGGTTTGTGGAGGTTCTCACTCAGTACCTGCCCCTCCCTGCAGCTCCGAAGTTGCCCCAGAATTAAATGATGCTCCCAGTGTGAGCCTGCCTTCAGTTTTAAGTCCAGAAGGTGCTAGAACACGTAACTCGGGTAGAAATGACCGCCGAGCCCCTTCAGAGCAGCAATAAAAATAGGGGTGGCGTTGGTTCCCTATTGCGTTGGCCTGTTTTAGGGGCTAGTGTTTCCTCTTTGTCACAGCCGTAAAGGGGGGGTTTGAAAAACTCTCTAACTTAGAAAATTTAGACGTTTCCGTAGCAGATGGAGGCGCACAGACGTGGTGGTTCCGTGTATCAGGGTAGTTTGAACAGAGCACCTCAATAAGTCATGAGTGGGACCCACATAAGCTGATGGCTTAAAAAAATTAAGGTGCCTTTACACATATTGTGGGCATCTCCAGCCCTGTTTCCGCCCCAGACACAGCCCCAGCCCGTTGTCAGAGAGATGCAGATATGCAGAAGATGGATTTTAAAGGAGTGGGTGTTTTATTATCTGAAAAAGAATCCAGAAGAAGTTTGGGGAAAAAAAACCTAGATAGCAAATTACAGTGTCGACTCTCTAGGGGGAAATAGCAAGGAAATGGCATTTTCGAGGAGGGATGGGGTGTGGGTCAGGATTTGAAGGTCGAGGGGGTTTATAGGTTTGATTTTTCAGAAGGATCAGGAAAGTCCAGCCTTAGGAGGTATGCTAAGGTTGACTGGAAGAACCTTAAAAACATGCAAAGGGAGAGAAGGCAGTCACGGGATCATGTAGGACTCCATTTGTGTGGAGCCCAGAACCAGCAAATCCATAGAGAGGGTGGACTGGCTGTTGTAAGGCTGAGGGAAGAGGGAGCGGGGACTTACTGCTAAAGTAGGTACCCAGTTTCTTTTAGGGGCGATGAAATCCCCTAAAATTAGATTATAGTTGATGATTGCACAACTCTCGAATATGCTACATTGAACTGTACACTTTAAATTGGTGACTTTTATGGTATGGGAATTACATCCCAATAAACCTGTTTTTATTTTTTAAAAAAACCTGCTAAGGTTGGAAAGAATGCATTCCGTTACTTTGCACGTAGAAGTCAGATTTAAAACTATTAAGTACATTTGTCCAACAGGTTGGTGTCTGTGTGTCTCTCTTTTCTTTATGGAGTTTTTCCATAATTACAGCGAGACAACAAACTGGTCATTGAAGCTTTTATGAGTGATAGTCGAGTAATCTGATGACGTAAAAAAGAAAAAATCACATGCATTTTAAACATCGTGGCCATTTCGTGCAAAGGATTTGGGAGGGACGGACAGAGGACAACAGAGGCTTGGTTTATACAGAGTTCAACTTAAAGATGGAGGAGTTGGATTTTTAAAAAAAAACAAAAACCACAGATGCTAGTGAAATCAGGTTTGTAGCAGTAAAATGCTTAACTGAATCCGAAACAATGTTGGTCTTTCCAAGATGAGAGTTTAGGAGCCGAGTCTGGATGGCTTTTTATATTTCCAGCTTCTCCCATATGTTTTCCAACAAAGAAATAATGTAGTGTTTTAAGATGGTGAGGAATTTTCACTTTCTTTTTTGATATTCCATATTAACCACCCTGGTCGGAAAGACTGAAGATGAGCTGCTGATTTTAATGGACTAAGTTGGTGTTTTTTGTTGATTTTTTTTTTTCTCTTTTTCCTTTGTTTATTTTATTTCTCACATAGCTTTAGAATCTGAGCAGGAAAAAGAATCTTTGTAAGATACAGTAGCTATTTGAGGCATAACTGTAATTAAAAAAAAATCCTTATGCAACAAAAGATTTTATAATATAAGAGACTTTTTTTTTTTTTTTGGTTTTGTTAATAAACTTAAGGCATTATCCAAATTTACCTTGGCCTTGTAATAGGAAAAGACCTAGAGAAGAATTGTTTATATTTGTTTTTGGTCTTTGTTTTGGCTTAGTGTCCTCGTAAGAATGTTTCCTGTCCTTACTGTTGCAAGATCAGGGCAGTAATGCAAATAAAATGTATCGTTTTCACTTGTTGCCTTAGAGTGTTGCCAAGGGGATCCCGGAGGGATGGTAGCTTCCTTTTCAATGTGGTTTCATTTGTTTTGTAAGAATGCGCTGGTAGGAAGCAACCGAACGCCGCCAGCACTTAGTGGGCACCTGCTGTATGAAACGTGGTGGGTAATGCCCGAGCCCACCGAAGAAAGGACTCCGCTTATGTCCTTGAGGCGTTTTAGA